TTAAAGAAGTCTTACTTCATCTGTTTTAAAATTTGTTATGTTTAATTTGGTGCTCTGTTTTGTTGTCTTGGTCTAGTTTGATTTTGATTATTTTGTATTTTGGGCCCTTTTAAAAATTCAATTGTTTTTATTTTTGTATATTTTAAATTATCCAGAGAACTTTATAATGATGGGGCAGCATACAAATATTATAAATAAAATAAACAAAACAATAAATGGGTTAATAGTTCAGTGGCCAAACCACTGAATGCAGAAGGTTCTAGATTCAATCCATGACATCTCCAGTTATAAATCTTAACTTTAGAACTGCACAGCTTGGAAGGGACACTATGGATCATCCAGTTCAGCCCGTGACAAGAAGGGAGTGGGGAATTGTGACAAGGTCCTTCTCGGACTAGCCCGTGACAAGAAGGGAGTGGGGAATTGAACTGCCTACCTAAACCACTGAATTATGCAGCAGTGCATCTGGGGGATGCACTGGTGGTAAAGGCGGGAAAAAGACGAGGAGGCTGGTCTTAGTCTTCCAAATCAACCCTTTTATTTGTAACAGAACTTAATTCAATGGCATCAAACGGGTCCAATAAACAATCATCTGTCAACAGCTTATATTTCTTGGGTCTTACAACAGTAACCCTTTCTGGTTCCCCTAAAAGGGAGCCGGCCCGAAACGCTCCCGATCCGTCAAAGGGCACAAGGGGGTACTCCGGACCGCACATACTGTCCCACAGCACGGGTGCCTGGCCCAGTCTCCCTCCGGAGGCTTCTGTTGGAACGAAGGGCCAGGGCGAATTACTCTCCGTCCACCAGGGTGATTCCGGGGATACACCACCACCGTCCATTCTAGAGGGTCTTACCCTCGCCCCCTTCCTCCCGGTACCAACGGATCCGGCAACAGCCCCCCGCCAAACTGTAAATTGGGAAAGTCTTTTATGATACCCGGCGCTTCTCCCGAATTGAGCATGGGTTTGGTTTGTACCCCTCTATCCACGAACCTCCCTAGTTCTCCGTCAGTTGACAATCTAAAAATGCACGCGCTTTCACTCTTTTATATCCTCCCATAAAATGAGGTCTAGCTCCGCCCCTCCTTCATCTGCTAGACACACTTCAGTAGATTTTCCTGTCACTCCTTCCGCTTGGTCTATTTCAATTAATATACCCTCCACGCAACTACTTCCTTCTACTGGGTCCTCCTTCATAGAGGATGGCGCACTTCTCTTCACGCCTTCACAGGAATTGAACTGTTTACCTAAACCACTGAACTATGCAGCAGTGCATCTGAATGATCTGATGGGAAGACCTCTCTAGAAACCCTGCTTTGGTGCCACTGGCCATACTGCCTGGACAATTCTAAGAGGTGTCATGCAAAAAACAATATCTTCAAACGCTGATCAAGAATAGAAATCACAAGGCTAGACAATCTTTTCCTATGCTCTTCCCCTCTTGCTTCCATGTTGAAAGGCAGCATGCTGCTAAATACCAGCAGCTGAGGACTAATAAGAATGGGAGCAAAACCTTCATGTCCTGCTTGTGGTTTTTCTGGAAGCATCCCATTTGCTTTTGTAAGAATGAGAATGCTGGATGTCTTTTGGTCTAAGGAAGCAGGGCTTATTGCTGACTTTTAATTGTATTGTTTCAGTAATTAATAGACTATAAAGGCAAGTGGTTTGTTAAATTGTATTCCTTCAGGTCCCTGGTAGATGGGTAATATGGGCATTAATGAACAAGGGGTTCATCATTGATAGTTTGTGCTACACATTCTTACAGTATCTTGCAAGCATGAAGTAGTTGCATGAACTTACAGGATCTTGCAAACATTTTCCTTATTCCCATTCAGAAAAACTGGAGGAATCAAAGTTAATATCTGGGGAAAGTTTATTATTTATTAGAAGTAGTAGTATCATTAGCTGCTTCCAGGAGCACAAAGATACAGGCTATCCAGAAATGTCTGACTCTTAATAATAAAGACTAATTGAGGTCTTTAAGGTATTACAGTATTCTGTCATTTTTTGCTGAAGCATGCTAACTTGGCTATTCACCCTGGAAAGAAGTGATGTCTGAACAGTCAGTAGATAAGGTTTTAAGCAGAAATCATTATTTTAGAAAATCTTCTAGAAGTACATTGTCTCCAAAATGTGACGATGAGCAAACTCTTGAGATGCAATAGGAGAAACCATCCCTCTAAATCCTGAGCTCCTGAGGTATTGCTTTTAGGACTAGCCACCAGAGATTGAGTTGAGGGAGGGTAAAGCTGCTTATTTTGACTTGGATACTCATTACACTCAGGAAGTCTTGCAAGAATAGATCATTCGCGGTCGTGGGCAGGCGGATCTTCTGCGGTGCTCGGTGTGATGATACAGAGATCAGTGAGCACAGGTGAGCACAAAACGAAAAGATTAGCATCCTTCTCTCCCCACCCCTTCATCCCTGTGCCTCTCACAAGGCAGGCTCGGAGCGCGACTTTCTCCCTACCCTCTGGGAGTGGACAAGCGAGGGCGGAGCACCCGGGGCTGCCCAATAAACGACTCAGCCACCGGCAGCCGAGAGAGCCCAAGGCGGCCGCCGCTGCAGGGGCCCCCCCTTCCCTTGACACATTCCGGAGCCGGCTCCCTCCTGCCTGAGCGCGGCGGCGGCGGCACCAGCAGCAGCAGCCCCCCCAAGGCTGTAATGTAAAACCACCTCGCCGGCGACTTCTGGCGATGAACCTCCAAGGGCTGACCCGCGAGTTGTCTTTGTATCTGGAGAGCCGGGTCCGGGAGGGGCTGCTGGCTTCCGGCGTCGGCTGGTCCCTGGTGCTCTGCTTCGGAGCCGCCTATGCCTGCTACTACCTCAGCAGCATCGCCAAGGTAAAAAGAAGAAGGGAGAAAAGACTACCCCTCTTTGGCGCGGGGGGGGGGTTTCCCATCCCACCCGCCGCCGGCCGACCTCAGGGAACGGCGTGGAAGGACCGGGCCGGCTGCCGGAAGGGGCCAACTGAGGTCACCGTCAGGCTAAGCCGGGTTTGGAAACAAGCGCGGCAATTGTCCTTGGAGAACATTTTATGTGCCGCGCTTTAAACGCGCCTGGGAGAGCAAAGTGCCGGTGCCTTGCGGCGCTCGCCTTGTAAAATACTGTAGCTCTGGGTTGTTGTTTTTTTTTTCAGCCGACGGTGTCCTTCCTTCCTTCCGTTTTAAACGAACACAATACGATTTGCCTTGCTCTCGCTTTATATAGGAATAGGGCGCTTCAGTATTGGCGCAGTACACACGGCAGGTCTGCCGTCGGTTAGTTTTGGGGAGGGTGCAGGTTTGGCGAAACTGCCACATAAATCGTGGTGGAGTCTAAAACTGAGATTGAAACGTAGTTTTGTACTGAATTTATGTACATAATAAGATAGAAACCTGATAGCGAGGAGTGTTTTGAGAGCGCCTTCCCCTTCCGGTCATAATATTGGAACTCAGCAATTCTTTTGTAAAAGTGGAAGATACGGTACATGTTTCTGTTTCCTTCCTAACGAAAGACCTGCTGGATAAGAAGGAAAGTTCCTCCGGTCTAGCTAGATGCCTCCATGATGCCCAGAAGAAGGGCATGAAATTGCCCTGTGATCTTTGTGAGGGAAGGGAAGATACAAATCAAATAAATACATCAATAGTCATCCAGTTGTTCTTCCCATCAATAATATTGTATCATTATTTGTACAAAATATTGTCTATGAACTTTGATTCTTATAATGCCATTCTGCGGCGGTGAGTTCTGTGTGCCTTGGTACTATGTCAAAGCATGCTGCTTTCACTCATTTGGGACCTCTGCCACCATGGGGGAGCTTGTCTCCTGTACATCTGGGATTAGCAGATCAACAATATAGATTGCTAATAATGGTTCATGTTACTGTGTGCTAATAGTCCTTGCAAAATGCCAATCAGAATTGACAATAGATGTAAGAGCAGCAGAGATCAAGGGCTTAGAATTAATAGAATGGGTCTGAGAAGAACCAGGTGCTGATAGAGTATGGGTATGGTGAAAAAAATGAGTCTTTTGGGGAAAAGTATAGATAATTCCTGAATAAAAACAGGTTGTTCTGATGTTATTCCATCAGAAATGTGATTAAAAGCCAAATAGTGCCGTTGTCTTACCCAGGATGAGAGAAAACCTTGTTGAACTTCCAAAAAGGCAAACATAGGTTTTCACAGTCAGCTTAGTTACACATAAGTAGACTGTTGTTTGGCAGCATATTAGTAACATTGTCTTACATTAGTGATTATTTATTGCTGTAGCAAGTACTGTACATGAGTCTTACTTTTACAGCAATCAGAACAGGACATTGAGGTGTATCCGTATTAAATACTGAGTCTTCATCCATTGATCTGTATCTCAGGGTCATCTTCTGAAGAAAACTTTCTCCTGGATTTCTTGTGGACTGTACTGATCTTGTTTTACCATGAACACACATGTCTGCAAAAAGATTTCATTTGTACAATGAATGCAGCTGGTATAGTGCCCCTCTTTTGGCATGGTATGATTCACATGCTAAGTCTTATTCTAAAGTGTGTCCTCAGACAGGGAAAATACTTCTATTGAGGTACATCCTGCATACACATATCATCCCACATATCTGAAGTGAGAATGCTTTAAAAATTATTAGCTAGCTTTCCCCAACTGTTGGGTTCCAGTCACTAGGGAGACAAATAGTCCTTCTGTCATGAAATGCCTAGCTTTTCACCATTCAAAAGGCTAAGAAAAGCAGAAAAAATGTTGAGCTTATTTGGGGCATGGGGCAGAGTGGTAGATCTGTTAATCTGTTACAACAACAGCAGTATAGTTGGCATTGTGAACCATGCCAGATAAAATGTGTTACTTTTTCTTATGGTGCCACAAGGCTGTTTGTTGTTTTTGTATATAGGTTGTTGACCTAGTTTTAAAATAACTTTCCATCTATTTGGCAGTCGGCATTCCATCACAATAATACACTGCAATGTTACATAATTTGTAAAATAGTTTGTCTTTCTGTGATGCTGTGTAATATGTAAGTAGTCAGAGTTATGTATGAAAAGGGTTTGAGAGTTAAGGAATGCTGGTGGAGAGTGTATTTGCATGTGGATGGTGATTGGCTGAAAAAGTGACAAGGAGAGGTGTTGGAAAGAGGTGATGCAAGTTGAATACTGAATCAGTTAATGGATTGTAAAGCAACAGAGCACAAAAGCCAATAAGCTGTAAACCTTGCATGCAAGCAGTAATGAGAGCTGGGTATAATGAAGATCTTAGTGGCAGCAGTACTCGAGGAAGAAAACATAGACAAAATTCAAGCAAGAGATCTTAGAGAAGGGAGAAGAGATCTTAGCCATGAAATCCTTGCAAAGCGGATTGGAAAGAGTCAGAGGACAGTATGAGCAAGGAGGCGAGATGGAGACACCTCTCACTAGAGCACCGTCCATTCCAGCGGAGGAGGGAAAGAGAGAAAGAAGTTCAGGAGTGACAGCGTCTGAGAGGGAGTTGAAGGAACAGTTGGAAAAGGCAGGAAATGAGGGTGAAGAAAGGGATCAATCAGGAAAAGAGAAGGAAAAGTCTGACTGGGGAGAGAGGGTCAAAGGGAGACAGAAGTAGCAGTAGTAGAGGCAGGAGAAATAGGAGTGAAAAACTGACAATGGACATCTCCTAGGGAACCCTGCTGGTTATTGCTTTCCAATTTGCTGCAGTCATGGAGAGATGTTGTCTGAGCAGGGAGCTGAACCCCAAGGTAGACTGATCAGGCCTGCACAACAGTTGATACATTTAGTCTAGAGGACTTGCTGTGCTTTTAAAGGGCCCTTGCCTAATTTGGTGTACATGTTCCCATCTGCTTGCCCGCCTAGAAGATGGAGGTAGAGGTGTTATTGAGGGCTCATCTTCTGAGGTTCATCTCTCTGTGGTTCTCCAGAGCGTCTCCCCTCACTGCATCAACCTGTAGTAGACCATCCTCTTCTTGATGGTATTGTGCTAGTGTATGAAGGATGCTGTTTTAGCAACATAAACTCCACATGCAGATAAATGTGTTCAGTGTTAGTGTTGCTCATGCATTGCCACCACCGAGAAACTGCTTGAAATGTTTGCAGTATTAGGATGAAAAACAGCTGAATAAATGGTCTTTCTTCACTCTTCCCCACCCCCAACTTCTTCTCTCTCTCATTCTCTAGAAGCCTCAACTGGTGACTGGTAGTGAGAGCTTCTGCCGTTTTCTACAGGATCATTGCCCTGTGGTGACAGAGATATATTATCCGACTGTGTGGTGCTGGGAAGGCCGCGTGCAGACTCTCCTTCGCCCTTTCATCACATCTCGGCCGTATGTGCAATATAGAAAGTGAGCCCCTCTCTTATACTTTGTAATCTTTTACTTTAATTGCTTAATTTATATTGTGCCTTCAGTTTTAACACATGATTCTTGTTCGTAACTGTGTGTCTTGCTATGGTTTCTTCACTTGTCCTGAAGGAATCTGGATTAAAGAATCTACAGAGTTGCCAAAACCGGTCATCCAATTACAGTGGACCCTCTCCTTACAAACTTAATCCGTCCCAGAAAATTTCGCTAGTTGAAACGTTTGTAAGTAGAAGTAAAATTTCCCATAGGAATGCCCTGAAAACCATTTAATCCGTTCCGGCTGTTTTTCGTTCTTAAATCGAGGCGCTGTTCTTAAGTCGACGCATTAGTTCCCATAGGAACTAATACAAAGCCAGTTAATCCGTCCTCTACCACTAGGGGAAATTTTTCTTCTTCTTTTGACCTAAGATGAACTTAGGTCAAAAAAAGGGCAGGAAAGGAGGGAGGAGGAGGGGACACCTTTAAAACAGAACACCTTTAAAAACAAACAGCTTTTAAACGAAGCCAAGCCCAGCACCTTTTAGGTAAAGAAAGGGCAGGAAAAGGAAGGAGGGAGGGAAGGAACACCTTTAAAACAGAACACCTTGAAAAGCACCTTTTCAACCAAGCCAAGCCAAGCCAAGCACCTTTTAGGTAAAAAAAGGGCAGGAAGGGAGGGAGGTTTAAAGAAAACACATTTGAGTCTAAACTGCATTTTAGAGCAAACCAGCCAGCACAGCCCCTCAGAATATTTTCTGATTTTAAGAAAAAAAGACTTTGGAGTCTAAACTGCATTTTACAGCCTGCCTGCATCAACAACCAGCAACCATTACTGTATTCCAGCACAGAACTCCTCATCACAAAAAGAGAGTATAGAGGGAGAGAGAGATAAGTGGTGGTGGTGGTGGTGGTGGTGGTGGGAGCCTTGAGTCTACAGTAGACTCCATTTTAAAACTCCATTTTAAACTCCATTTTAAAGCCAGCCTGGCCGTGTCAACAACCAGCAACCATTATTACAGCAAACAGATCCCCAAAGGAAAACAAAAAGACTTTGGAGTCATATTTTAAACCCACACATTTTAAAACAACAGAGAGGTCACAGTACACAAACCCTAGAAGCCACAGAATGCAAAAATAAATAAATAAATTTTACATTTTAAAATTACAGTCTAATTTTCACATTTAATTTTAATTTAATATTACAGTCTACTTTTCACATTTTAAATCCACACTGCAAGACCCATCAGGGCACAGAAACATAACCTCCCCACCTAGCCCTCCCCTCCACCAAAAAGCCCTGAAGAGTACAGTAAATACAGTGTACTCACCCAGAACAGGCAGTCTCTGTTTAAAAAAAGACAAAAATCAAAAAATCAAAAATTAAAAAAAGCAAAAAAAAAGTCTGTACAGTACCGTACCAGGCAGTTTGAAGACTCTCTCCCTAGCCATTCTCTAACTGCTTGGATGAGCGATGTTGCATACAAACAGCCTCTTCGCTGGCCAACGGTCAACTGAAAGTTCAAATTTCACACTTTCCCCGCCTCCCCTGTTTTTTCTGTTCGTATCTTGAAGCTCCGTTCGCAAGTAGAAGCAAAATTTTGTGAACGGAGCTGTTTGTAAGTTGGATTGTTTGTAGGTAGGGACGTTCGTAAGTAGAGGTTCCACTGTATTGGAAACAGGTGGTCTGATGCTATTGCTGGTTCTGGTATTGATGTCCCTCACTAAGCATGCTGATTGGGAAGCTTCCTTCAAACTTTGCACAAAATGTCATTCTGTTCTTGGAATTCCTAGATTCTTGAGATGCAACACAGAAGCACTCATAGAAATGACTCCCCCCCCCTCTATGATTTATATAAACAAATCAGTTGTTGCTGTCTCTTTTTTCACTCTTGGCCAAGAATAGTTTTTTTTCCCCTAAAGCTAATGGTTTTTACTTTGTTCATGACCAAAATACTTTCTGTTACAATACTTTCCAACACAACAATATGACATTGCTAGAAATATCCAGTTTAGGTCCAGCTATTACAGGTAAATTTAGAGGAAACATCATGCCACTGGTAGCAAATAATATATTTATCTCTGCTTTGAAAAATGTTACTGGTGCTCCACATCAAGTACGATATATCAAGTCACTATTCAATAGGTTATCTCTGCTTTGAAAAATGTTACTGGTGTTCCACATCAAGTATAACACTATTCAACAGGCTTTCTTTCTTTCTTTCTTTCTTTCTTTCTTTCTTTCTTTCTTTCTTTCTTTCTTTCTTTCTTTCTTTCTTTCTTTGATTCTTTCTTTCTTTCTTTCTTTCTTTGATTGTTTCTTTATAAGTCAGCCTAGTAACCATTGTAAGATTTCTTGGGGCTAATCAGCATGTCTTCACACAGGCCACACCATCCTGAACAGTGAAGGGATTTACAGTTTGACTGGTTTTTTATTTTTATTTTTGCAAAACTAATCAGTATTGGTTTTTCCAGTGAGCTTATTACTGCAACAGATGGAGGACAGATTTCACTGGACTGCTTTGATAATCACGATAGCATACATTACCCAGATTCCAGCACCCGACCCACTATCCTGTTGCTGCCTGGCCTCACAGGAACAAGCAGGGAATCCTACATTCTCCATATGATTCAGCAGAGCAAAGCCCTGGGGTACAGGTATAATCAGTTTCGCTTCTATACATTTCCTGATTTAGATTAAATTTGCTCAAGTGGTAAGCTGCTATAATTTCTGTGGGAAAGGTGTAGTGAGAGGAGACCTTCCATCCCCCTCTTTTGTTCCCCCTTTGTGGTTACCAAACCCTTAAATTTCTGCTAGATGTTCCTTTGGAAGCTGTCTCCATAGTAAGGGCTCCAAGCAGTAAGCATCAACAGAGCAAGTGTGTTATTTGGACAACTCCCAGCATGCCTTGTTTGTTTGTTTGTTTGTTTGTTTGATTGTCCAAATGAGCACTTTTTCTAAGTTTCTGATTGATTGATTGATTGATTGATTGTCCAAATAAGCACTTTTTCTAAGTTTGCCATATACTCTAAAGCTCAGTCCTCAGTGTGGATTGTGTTTTAGGGCTAGAGTCAGAATCACTACGTTTTATGGCATGGAAAAGTGACCTTTGTGGGAGTAGAGATTCCAGAATCTCCCAACCAGCAGAATTAATGACCACACTGGCTGGCTGATACGTGGAATTGTAGACCAACAAAGTAATTCTTCCCAGTCTGCTAGCAAAGACCTGACAGCTTAGCTTGAGACTAACAGGCAAGTTTTGTTACCTGAGGGTAGGAGGTGTAAAAAGAGAGATTGGCTCTCTCTCCCTTTATTCTTCCACATGGAGAAAGATTTTAAAATTGATTCATTTATATGAGTAACTGGATCATATTCATTGCTTTGTGGTGAGCTCTTTAAATAACTGCTGGATACGCAGTTTAAATAGAGTAGAACATAATGATGTGCCATATGTGTCTCTGCATCACTATACTGAATCATTAGCAAAACTTGAATGGTAAAGTAGAATAGCTTTGAAATGTCTGAAATCTTCACATCCAAACACACTCAGGTTAACAGCTGTGGTAAACAGTGCTCTTTTGTTTTTTAAAAGGTGTGTGGTCTTTAACTATCGCGGTGTTGCTGGTGAAAATCTCTTGGTAAGAATTGCTCTTAAATTAAGTACAGATGTCGAGCAATGATAAAGCAAACAAATAGTGAGAATGTCAGTACTTGGAAGCATGCAACACATCTACCAACAATTAACGGTAATGCCATCACTGGCAGGGCTAGTTCCTTGTTGGCAGCCCCCTCCACCTTTGTGCCACACAGCCCCAAAAATACCAAGATAAAAGTAACACAGTAACCTCACATCACTCATCTAATCATTATCCATGTTTTATTTGCATTCTCTTCAATAACTGGTTCTATCAATCTCCAAACAGAAATATGAAGGAACTGGAAAACAAAGTAGGAATTTATTGGGTTTTACATTCCATTGAAACTATAGTTCCATTCAATACCATACTTCTCAGACTGTGCAATACACCTTCATGGAAAGGTATGACCACTGAGTACAGAGCTGCTGGAGAGCTGCTGGTTCTATGCTACCCCTTCCTTAGTTCGTGATTTGTGCAAGGCTTGATAGAACCAAGGAAGTAGAATGTAAAATCACTACTCGTGAACACTGCATTCCAGTGGGCTGCCTCCATTTAGGGCAATGCATGTGGTGCAGAGCTGTGAGACCTGAATGTTGCCAAAATTCAAGGCAGGATGGGGCAGTGACGAGATAGGTGGAATTGGCATTTATGGGCAGCTGCCAATCCTCTTCCCCACCCTAGTGTATTGGAAAGGTCTTCCTTTCAACCCCTAATCTTCCACCACTGCCTTTCCCTTGAGCCCAGAAGGAGGGGGCAGAAGGCAGTGGCAGCTGTTTGTTGTCACATTTATTTGCTCATGTAACTTCCTCAGCAAATGTTAATGGCAGTGAGGAACAGCAGCTGCCAATGCCTGCTATATGTCTTCAAGGTAACATGCAGTGATTGACATTGTTGCCCATCCACTCACGTGCCCAAACAGGTAATAGGATCAGAAAATGAGAGAACTAGAGGTTATCCCAAGGGTCACATAATCCAGATGCCTGCTAGTAGATGAATACCTAGATAAACAAAGCATTTCCAATAGATGCCCAGTGAACACCTGTTTAAAAACCTCCAGCAAGAGAGACCCCAGTCCACTAAAGAAGCACACTCCACTGTTGAACACCCGCTTACAACTAGGATGTTTATCCTGATGTTTCATCAGAAACTCCATTCTTCTAATTTGAATCCATTGGTTTGGGTCCTCTTCTCTAGAGTCACAGAAAGCAAATTTGTTTCATCTTCTACTTGACAGCCCTTCAAATATCTAGTGTGGATACTAGTGCCTTTGGTATCTTTGTATACTTAGTGGCTTCAGTGAGTAGCAGCTCCTCAGTCATGTACTTGATTTATTTTCCTGTGTATTGGCAATAATTGGGCTAGCGGGCCAGCCCCACGTTTGTCCCAAGAGAAGAAACAGGGAAGAAGGTGAACAAGAAGTGTTTGCTGGTCTTCTTCCTTGCTGTCTACTTGCTCACCTACTTGCTTGCATTCTGAGTTGCAGGTGAGCAGACGCTACAACAAGTAAAGGAAGCATTATTTTTGCTGATACCACTCCATCAGTTCATCAGGCCACTTCAGGATTTTTTCTGGATATAGAGCAGAGTACAGGTCCTTCAATGGATCAATTAATCAATCTAGAATACGCTTTGGAAGCAGATTTGAAGCAGCAAACTATAGTTGTTTGGACCTGAGCTAATATACAGTATAAAATCTGAATATTCTAACTTTTTCCTATAAAAGTTAATGTTTTCTTGATAATCCTAACCAAAGGTTATGATAACCTCTGAAAATGAGTCATAAAAGTAGAGGCCTGGGAAAAAAAACCCAGAAAAATTGGGGAAAAAAAGTTTTTCTTCTGATTTTTTCCCCAAAGCCATTTTTTTTTCAGAAAAATCTGAAAAAGAAAATGGTGTATGGAATATGTTATTTTACAATGGTAAATAATACGTCTATGACATGGTATTCAAACACCCTTAGCGGTGAATATGTTATTTTACAATGGTAAATAATATGTCTATAACATGGTTTTCAAACACCCTTAGCAGGACGCCCTTCGCAATAACTGCTACATACAATTTTATTGTTGATTTATTTAAAATATTTTTACTCTGCCTTTCTCCTTAAAAACAATGCAAGGTGGCTTACATAATTAAAAGACAATATTTAGAAGCTAAAACTGTAAATATACAAATATTTTAAAAGAACCAAACAAATACCATACTAAAAATTGTAAACAAAACCAACACCAACAACACATTCAACGTAAGAAGGCACTACATTTCATTTAAAAGACCCACTCAGGCAGCCTATATGAAGAGAAAGGTCTTTGCTCACTTGCAGGAAGACAGCAAAAATGGGGCCTGTTTAGCCTCATGTATTGCTCACTTGCAGGAAGACAGCAAAAATGTGGCCTGCTTGGCCTCATGTACAGTAGGAGGGAGTTCCAAAGTCTGGGACCAGCAACAGAGAAGGCCCTCTCCCGTGTCCCTACCAAATGCACTTGCTAAAGTGGCAGGATTGAGAGAAAGGACTCCCCAATGATTTTAACATCTGGCCAGGTTCATAAACCTGAAGGACCGTATCTCCCTATACGTGCCTTCTCTGCAATTAAGATCATCAGAGGAGACCCTCCTCTTGGTCCCATTGCCAGCACAAGCACAGCTGATGGGGACATGGGAGAGGGCCTTCTCTGTGGCAGCTTCCAGGCTATGGAACTAGGGAGATCAGGATAGCCCCTTCCCTTTCATCCTTTTGAAAAAAGCTAAAGACCCATCTCTTCAGGCAGGCTTTTAACAATTATAAATGAATCCCTGAACCCCATTTAAGCAGAAATTTAATTTTTTTAATGTTTTCATGTTTTAATCTTTTAATTATATTTAATCATATATTATTTAATTTATCTTGTAATATTTAACTTACTGTGTTTTTAAATTATGTGATTTTAATGTGAGCCACTTTGGGTCCCTTGTCAGGAGAAATGTGGCATATAAATAAAACTACTGCTGCTGCTACTGCTACTAATAATACCAATACCAATACCAATAATACTAATACCAATAATAATAATACTATTAATAATGATGCTGCTGCTGCTGCTGCTGCTACTACTACTACTACTACTACTACTAATAGTAATAGTAATAGTAATAGTAATAGTAATAGTAATAGTAATAGTAATAGTAATAGTAATAGGACAGTCCATGAGACATTTATTTATTTTTATTTATTTATTGGACTTCTATCCCGCCCATCTAGACCAAAGGTCTACTCCAAGATAGCTTGGATCCAACCCATTTAGGACTTTATAGGTTAAAATCAGTACTTTGAATTGTGTCGGGAAGTGGAGCTGCTGGAACAGAAGGATTATGTCATTCTTGTAATCACCTCCAGTTAATAATCTGGCAGCAGCATCAATACTGGACCTGTAAGCACCGCAGACTAGATCCTTTATAATGCAGGAACATTATATGGGACGTGGTGGCGCTGCGGGCTAAACAGCAGAAGCCTGTGCTGCAGGGTCAGAAGACCAAGCAGTCGTAAGATTGAATCCATGCGACGGAGTGTGCGCCCGTCGCTTGTCCCAGCTCCTGCCAACCTAGCAGTTCGAAAGCATGTAAATGCGAGTAGATAAATAGGGACCACCTCGGTGGGAAGGTAACAGCGTTCCGTGTCTAAGTCGCACTGGCCATGTGACCACGGAAGATTGTCATTGGACAAAACGCTGGCTCTATGGCTTGGAAACGGGGATGAGCACCGCCCCCTAGAGTCAAACATAACTGGACAAAAATAGTCAAGGGGAACCTTTACCTTTACCTTAACATCAAATACTGTACGCAGACTAGATCCTTTATAATGCAGGAACATAACATCAAATACTGTACAGCACTGGAAAATTGGCACACTCACATCCTACCATTAATATTTCAGTCTTAAAAAACATGTGCTCTTTCACCCAGAAAACAATAAATAAGAGGATAGATACGTGTTTGAGAGCAGGATTCTGTGAGAACCAGTATAGATTATTAAAGTCTTGACATCCTTCTGCATCCAGTCTGTTGACAGCTGCTGCGGAGATTTAATCCTAGAGAAACAACATTACTGTACAGCCCGACTCAGTTAACATACTTGTTTATAAAAATCAAGTATTTATAATACATTACATTGGTGAAAGTAAGAATGAGCTTTCATTAAACACTTGGAGATCAATATATAAAGTAGTTTTGTGACCCACCAAATCCTTTTCATTATATTTTAGATGTAATGAAAAGATCTTCCATATAGTTCTATTTGAAGAAATTATGCAATTAGCTTTACATGTTTTTAACACTGAAAAGGCACTTGTAACATTTAAACAGCTGCAGGTGTAGTATGTTCAGTAGATAATGTTCAGTATAAAGATGCACGTGGGACGTGGTGGCGCTGCGGGTTAAACCGCAGAAGCTTCTGCTGCAAGGTCAGAAGACCAGCCGTCGTAAGATCGAATCCACATGATGGAGTGAGCTCCCGTCGCCTGTCCCAGCTCCTGCCAACCTAGCAGTTCAAAAGCATGTAAATGCAAGTAGATAAATAGGTACCACCACGGTGGGAAGGTAACGGTGTTCCGTATCTAGTCACGCTGGCCATGTGACCACAGAAATTGTCTATGGACAAACGCTGGCTCTACAGCTTAGAGACGGGGATGAGCACTGTGCCCTAGAGTCGGACATGACTGGACTAAATGTCAAGGGGAACCTTTACCCTTACCCTTACTTACTTATTTATTAGATTTATACCCTACCCATCTAGACCAATGGTATACTCTGGGCGGCATTACAAAATTTAAAAACAATAGAACCAATAAACATGCAAAAATCCAAGATTATAAAGATGCACAATCCCATTCTAATGATTTTGAAACAGCAAATTAAAAAATGTCATAGACAAGCAAAAAGCTATGTAAGTACATTATTTTGAGAGCAAAAATAGTTTTCTGCATTTAAGTAAAGAATACATTTAAAAAGAATTAAGTTATTTATAGTATTCCAGAAATATTTTAATGCTGGAGTCCTATGTATGCCTATGTTGAAGCCCCGCTTTACTGAATGGTGTGTACTTCCTGGTACATATCCACAGGATTGTAGCCCAATTATGTACACTTACTTTGTGATAAACCCCATTTGACCAAGTGGGACTTTTGATTCAACACACTTCGAATTTGCTTCATGTTGCTATGCAAAATGAGCATAAGAAATATTTTTCTATTGAAAATTTGAAAAGTTGCTATGAAATGTGATAGTAAGGGTAGCTGCAATTTGATTTTGTTGTCTTTGCCTCCTGGAAGGCCGCAAATGGCCCCTGGGCCGCATGTTTGAGACCCCTGCTCTAATAAGTTTGAAATGGTTACAGTCGAACACAATTTCGCTGGACTAAAACTTCAAGCTTTCCCCTTTTACCTACTTATTGGGCAATATTCTGTGTGCACATCTGCATTGCATGCCTAGAGTCACCTTTGATCAGGGTTTTGTGTAAACCATGCTTAAAAAAAAACAGTCACCTTTGATCAGGGTTTTGTGTAAACTGTGCTTTTAAAAAAACCCACCTATTCTGTGCGAGAATATTGTAAATTGTATGAGCTTGTTATCTGTCCAAATTACATAGTCAGATTTGTATTCATCCTGTAATTTTTACTGTTATGAGCTTGTTATCTGTCCAAATTACATAATCAGTCAGATTTGTATTCATCCTGTAATTTCTACTGTTAGTGAAGAGCTAGATGGGGCATCAAAGCACTGTTTTCTGAATGTGCCCTTAAATCGATTCCAATTTATGGCAACTAGTTCCAAGGTTTTATAGTACTCAGAAGTAATTTAACATTCCCTTTTTTGAGGGATGCTGTGTGACTGTGCAGCTTGCCCAAGGCTACACACGCTGGCTCGTCCCATGGGATGAAGAGTGGAGAATCGAGTTCCCATACTTAACTCACTGAGCTATCCAGAGAGCACTTTACACATAGTAAACTGGTTGTCTCTCTTTGCTCTTTTAACAGAAAAAAAGTACGCCCGTGGGAAACGCAAGGCTTTTTTTGACTCTTGACAGCAGAGGACGCGTGGGCGCTTCGGGGGGCAGGCAAGGCGGGGGCCACAAATTATCATCCGGCGGGCCGCAAATGGCCCCTGGGCCGCATGTTTGAGACCCCTGCTCTAATAAGTTTGAAATGGTTACAGTCGAACACAATTTCGCTGGACTAAAACTTCAAGCTTTCCCCTTTTACCTACTTATTGGGCAATATTCTGTGTGCACATCTGCATTGCATGCCTAGAGTCACCTTTGATCAGGGTTTTGTGTAAACCATGCTTAAAAAAAAACCCCACCTATTCTGTGCGAGAATATTGTAAATTGTATGAGCTTGTTATCTGTCCAAATTACATAGTCAGATTTGTATTCATCCTGTAATTTTTACTGTTTAGTGAAGAGCTAGATGGGGCATCAAAGCTGTTTCCTGCATGTGCCTTAAATCGATTCCAATTTATGGCAACTAGTTCCAAGGTTTTATAGTACTCAGAAGTAATTTAACATTCCCTTTTTTGAGGGATGCTGTGTGACTGTGCAGCTTGCCCAAGGCTACACAGGCTGGCTCGCCCATGGGATGAAGAGTGGAGAATCGAGTTTCCATACTTAACTCACTGAGCTATCCAGAGACCACTTTACACATAGTAAACTGGTTGTCTCTCTTTGCTCTTGTGCCAGAAAAAAAGTACTGTGTACTGTGTACTGTTGTTGTTGTTTAGTCGTTAAGTCGTGTCCGACTCTTCGTGACCCCATGGACCAGAGCACACCAGGCCCTCCTGTCTAAATATGATTCTTGAAGGGTCACTGCATTAATGTTACCTGAAAAGGTGAAGTCAAGACCTCAGTGTTCCCCTTCTGACATTTTAACTCTGCTCTTTGTTTCCAGTGTCTCTAAATCTGGGGAACATATGCCCCTTTGATTATTGTTAGACCACAACTCCTATCAGGCCTAGCCAGTATAGTAAATGAGTGATGGATTGTGGGATTTGTAACTGAGCACTATCTGGATGCCTGCACATTCCATGCCCTGCTCTGAAGTTCAGTGTGCCATCTATAAAATGGGTTACAGATATTTGAGTTAATGCATGTGCGGTATTTTGAATGTGTAAGGAAAAGCATGCTTAGAAGCATTAGATATTGTTACCGGTTACAGTAAGGTGAAAACTGGCAGTGTGTCAGCATTCTTGCAAGTTCATTTTGCCAGGCAAGTGGTGCAGATGTGTCCTATTGTGCTATAGCCCTTACAACCTAATGGAAAGCAGTATTAGTTTATCAAGCAGGGGTAAAGTACAGTATCAAGTACTCTTGGGAAACTGCCCAGTAAGTCATGCTGTGCCTTTTTTGCTGCAATTCTGACCTGCAGCCGCCTTTATGCACAGCAGGTACAGTGCTTCTAGCAAGGACAGTTGTTGCCAGTGTTGCCATGCTTATGCATGTTGCTTGCTCTCAATTCCAGAGCTATAGCGATGTAGTGCAGCACTTACTACACCTAATTGTATGCATTACTTTGCAATTGGGCCCCTATGTCTAATTGCAGAGGTAGATCCTTTTGTAGCAGACACTGGCTTGTGTGTTGTGATCTTAGTACAATTGTTCTTAGACCTGGGCTTCCAATTGAACCTCAGCTCTCAGACGTCTCAGCCAGTGTGGCCAAAGGTCAGAGATTCTGGGACTTATAGTTCAATAGCAGTTGGGGATCTACATTTCAGAACCAGTTAGTATGACTGAACTGCATAGAATTGTCTATTGTGTGTGTATACTGGGGATGGGAGTTAATGTACTCCATCAGTGTAATTTCTACCCAATGAAACAATGTATTGTAAAACTAAATGGGTTGAAACCAGCCTTTAGCTTCTCAGGGATCAGTCCCAGGGAGTTGCAGAGAAGACGGTTTTTGCTAATGGGTCTTTAAAAATCTTTTCCAGATCATCATAAAAGTCAGTACAGTATGTGGGATTGTTAGAGGAAAGCAGAACCAGAACAAATTGCATGTCCCACCCTACTCTATGGAGAAATTGCGTTGATCTGATTCCTTCCCATTTTGCAGATACCATTCTGGATAGAAGCCCATGTTTTGTAAAAAGAAAATTCTTAGAGCTTTAACTCCAGCCCTAATATAATTTAACTTATTCTTATTCTTTTGTTGCTGCATAAACCACCCTGGTTTGGTTTGACAAATGGTGATTGTACTCTTTTCCATTTTGGGGCTGCTTGCAGACACCAAGGACCTACTGTGCTGCTAATACAGAAGATTTGGAAACTGTTATTCATTATATACACAATTTGTATCCCTCAGCTGCGTTGATGGCATCAGGTGTCTCCATGGGAGGGTAAGTATTTGTGGAATACCTGATAAGGATTCATCTGAGATAGCACAGCTTTAGTGGAAAATAGACTTTTTTATCGTAATACTACTTTTCCACAGAGAAACATGAGCTGATAGTCTAATTTTTAAAGATGCTATAGTTGACCTTTCTATGTGTATCACTTGTGTCCATGTTCATCATAACCACAAACAAGTTCATTTTATGGAAGTTACAGAACCTGCTATAAAAGTACAAGTGACAATAATTACCACAAGCTATTTCTGCTAGAACTACTTTATAAATTTAAGTAGAATGTAGAGCTACTCCATCAGTGTAAGTAGAGTTTAACAGCAACATTTGAGTGAAATGTTACTGCACAGTAGTTATGTTAATCAGTATCCCATAATCTTGTAATATATCACAACTTGGCAATCCATTTTATCTGACCTTTATGATCATAGTTGGCTTATAAATTATCATCACAGAATTGTCATGGTCAACACATGATGGAAATAAATAAGGCTTTTAACTACAGTATGTGTTTGTTTCTTGGGACTAATAAAAAGTAGTGTTGAGTGGTTTCCCTCTACCAATGAAATGGACATGAGTGGTGGAATGGACTCCTGCTCGCACTCTGAGACTCCCCTTTCCTCTCTTCCCTTCTGTACTTTCCACACCCTGCAGGCTGCTGCCAGGGATCCCTTAACTCTTGGTGGCAGATTCAGGGACACAGAGAGGGGAGGAAGTCAATTTCACTTGTTATGTCTATTACACTGATAGGTGGAGATGTTTTGTTCATTTACCAAGACAGTCAACTGTGTTTAACCATTTTCTTGTTTCTTGGGGCTTTCAGTATTGCTATTATTAAGAGAATCCTAAGACATAAACATCTATTTATTTATTTGATTAAAAGACTCATTTATTCATCTGCTGATTTAATAGAAAAGGAAGTAAAGACAACAGTTTCCTTTATGCCCACATCTGTACCTAATGGAGCTCTTTTATCTCCATTGCAACGTTAGTCTTTTTAACATACAGGTGAGACATTGGTTATAAACTGGAATACATGACCATTCTTGGGCTCTCATTAAAAGATCAGCACCACTTATCACTACACAACTCTAAACATTTATTGGCAGCAAATATACGTGCCATATTCACACTTCACATTTTCCAAAATACCGACTGGAAAATACCATTTTTATAATCCTGGGAGGAATGAAGTAAACGCTTGGACTCAATTGCCCTTCAGGTGCCTTCAAGTAGTACAATTCTACAAAGTACTACTATTGATGCAGAATATGTCAGTTATTCTGAAGAATATGTGTAACACAGTAGATCCAGAAAAGAAGCATTTCTGTATTTGTCCCAATCATCCATGTAATGCTTTATTTTAATCTATTTTAAGACTGCCACCGTCTTCCTCCTGAGACACCATTAGAAATTTAGAACTGCAGTACCACTGCCACGCATGACTGGCACTGCCTTCACACGGAGTCCAATATCTAAGTATATTTGCTTGTATACATGTTTTGGACTCCAATGCCAGAAAAATAAATGTCTCCATATGCCATGGGTCCATGAACCATCAATTCAAACATTTGTTTCCTTTCCTGTTTGCAGCATGCTTCTTTTAAACTACCTGGGGAAGACTGGCAAAGATACACCACTAAAGGCAGCTGCCATTTTTTCAGCAGGATGGAATGTTTTTGAATCTGCCAACTCCCTAGAAAAACCAGTGAACTGGCTTCTCTTTAATTACTACTTAACCACTTGTTTGCAGTCTTCAATAACTAGGTAAGTCAACCTCCATTCCTATAGGGCAGGAGGACAGACTGACTGCGTCAGACTCCAGTCGACTTTGAATCATTTTATAACAGGGTCCCCATGTTTCCTTGGGCAGCCTTGTTGCTGTTGGAAACCAAACCACATCAGCACTTCTCTGCATGGTTGCCACCACAAGAACAATGGCCATATGCGTGGCATTTTGGCTAACTACAAATCTTGACCCTCACTGGAAGCCATGTGGATGGGAATAAGTATTAATTTTCAGCCATCTGCATTTCCAAGTTGACGTTGGGCCTAGCACTCTTTGACCTCATTCTTCACACAGTGTTTCTGCATATGAAGACTTCTGATCCAGTTTTCATGCCAACCCTTTTTTTCCTTTATTTTACAGACATCGACACATGTTTGATAAGCTATGTAATATGAATCTTGTCATGAAGGTATGATAATGATTATATTAAAAATCTCTAATTTCAACATTACTTAGATGCAACCTTAATATGACTTCTGTATTTCAGGCTAAGACTATTAGGGAGTTTGATCAACAGTTCACCTCAGTCATGTTTGGTTATCGTACAATTGATGATTACTATGCAGATGCTAGTCCTTGTCGAAGACTGAAGAGAATTGGAATTCCAGTGTTGTGCTTAAATTCTCTGGATGATGTTTTCTCACCAGATCATGGCAAGTTGATACCCCCCCCCCTTTACCAAGATGTACTTGGTTGATCTTGAGAAAGAACTTTGAATTTTACCTGAAATATACAGTGGTGCCTCGCTTAACGAGTGCCTCGCTGAGCGTTGAAATCGCTTAACGAGGTGCTCTGGGCCATCACTGGAGCATTCGCTCAGCGATGGCCCCTATGGAGAATATTGCATAACGAAGCGGGGGAGAACAGCTGATCGGCGGTTCCAAAATGGCCGCCGGAAGGTCCGCGCCGCATTTTTGCGCCCTGCCCTCGCTTACCGAGGGCACGAAAATGGCGGCGCTATGGCAGAACCTCGCATAGCGGTGAGTTTTCAAGCCATAGGAACGCATTGAACAAAGTTCAATGCGTTTCTATGGCTTTTTTATTTCCGCACAGCGATGTTTCACTATAGCGAAGGTTAATCCGGAACGGATTAACCTCACTATGCGAGGCACCACTGTAATGGGAAAATAGTACTCAGCTGGGCTGCAGCATAATGGGTTTCTGGTGTTCCAGCTTTTATACCAATAACAATTACTTAGTCAGAAAGGAACTCAGTATACTGCAATATCAGAACACTGGTTTTTTTAAGCCTTAAACCTCTTTTCTGTTTAGTTTTTATCAATCTAAAATTACATAAGAATGAAAAGACAGCAGCCCAGGGTTACAACTGTGTCATTTGAAACAGTATATCAGGATTTTATATCTCATCTAATATATATTTCTATTATTAACAATACTGATCCTGGATAAACAGTGTCCTGTACCCATGAACCTGTACTTAACTGAAACCATCTGTTAAATTGCACATACTGCATGAGAGATTTGAAAGAGTAACACTGAAATGGTAATTTATATTTTCTTTCCCTATCTTTTTCCCCTTCTTAGCCATACCAATAGAAATTGCAAAACAAAATCCTAACATAGCTTTGATCCTTACTTCTTATGGAGGCCATATTGGTTTTCTGGAAGGTCTGTGGCCAAGAAAATGCACATACATGGACAGAGTCTTCAAACAATTTGTTCAAGCTGTGTTTGAGCATGGAAGCAAAATCTTTACTACATAGCAATTTATCAAATCATAACTGCAACACAATGACATATTATGATCAGGGTAACTAAGCTTAATGCACATGATTTAGGAAATAAACCAGCAATGGGTAAAATCCATGATTAGAAGCAAAAGTATAGTACATATTTTGCAATATTACTACTGTTATATTTTTATTTTAATATGCCTTCTAAAAATTACCTTAAATTAAAGAAAGCACTCTGCATACATTGCATTGCACTGAACCCATTAAGCAAAATGATAATACTTACTCAGGTTTTTTATTTAGAAAATTCACACATAGAAATCTTCCATTTAAGTACTGGTTCTCATAAAATTAACTTTCAAAAATTCAAATTATGTTATAATACGTGTGGGTTTCTCTAAGGGCATTAATGAAGGAAATGCTATAGAAAGGTATTTTTAAAAATTATAAAAATATCAATTCAAAAAGCGTTCCTTAAAGTTAACCATGGATTACAATAGCATTTTTGCACTTGTACACTGTGGGGATTATATTTACAGATGTTTCATGTATGCTGATGCCATATATGTCTTACTTTTTTTAACACTGCTTGTTAATGTACAACATTTATATTTATACCAGATGTCTTATGTTAAAATGCAGAATGGAAATAAACCACATTTTCAAAGAAATTAATATTTTATATTCTTTTTGTGCAATATTTATAATTTGGGAAAAACCCCAGATGTTTATCAAATTCTACAGAAGCAGCACTTATCTCCTTTATGGGACTGAATTATCCCATTTATTGTTTTTATATCTTCACCAGCTGTCACTCAAAATTTTTAGCATGATTCAAAAACCTGTAGTAGCAATCACGACACCCTCTCTCTCATCACACTAAATGAAACCAGAAAGAACCACAACTTTACATAATCTTATAGTGGATTACAAGCAATTATGACAACATGGCTTGCTTGACCTTGTTATGACTCTGATCTAAAATAAAAATACTGTTTTTCCTCAAATCCTCAGCATACTGTACAGCATACACTAATTCCTGTATTCAGAATAACAAAATGGACTTTCACAATAACATGACAACTGCTCCACCAAAATGTTGCCTTCTGTGCAACTAATGTATAGGATTACTTCTGGCATTCTACTGAGAATGTTGTGCAAAGGATTTGATAATGAGATAAAAGCAGCTGTTGATCCAATCCTCTGGCCTGTCACCATTCTGAAGGAATCATACCCATCTCCACTTCTATTTAGAGATGGTCACAAATAAGAAAAAACTGTGATTTGTTTTGATAATGAATTTACAATTTTTTCTCATGAATTGATTCATCAATTTGTTTTTGCTTTAAAATCCTATAAAATGCCCCCCCCAGCACCTAGATACACCAAATTTACAGAAAAACCTCCCATGGCGCTCTATAATCTTTCCAGGTTTGGTGAAGATTGGGTTTCAGGCATCCAGGTTATACACCCACAAAGTGGGTCCCTCCAGGAAAGTGCCCTTTAACTTAGAGGGATTGTAGAAGAGAGTCAGGAAAGCTTCTCTGTAAATTTGGTGTCTCTAGGTTCCTGGGGGGGAACTTCCTGAGGGGGGGATGACTAAAAAGTATTAAAAATTCATTGATTTGTATTCATGGGGAGGCACTGATTTGTATGACTACGAATAGAGGAATTAGTGATGTTTCAATTTGGCGATTCATTTTTTAAATTCGTGTCCATCTCTACTTGTATTACAGAATCCTGAGTAATAACAACATTAAAAATAGTAACATCATTAATCATCTTCCTTGTAGAAGGAAAATAAACTTACACAACAATTAAACCAAGGTGTGTATTGGTTGCAAGATCAAGTAGGGTTCTGGAGAAATACTGGAAAATATTCTCTAAGATGAGTTATAAATAGCTCTGCTATTAAAAAAACATCAACATAACAAATCTGTAGCTACAGCAAGTTTCCACCAGCCAGGACATTGTCTCCCTGAAAAATGCTTTGGAAGCACATCTTCAAAAGAGAATTGGACAATTTACTGTCCTGTTTAATATGATGACAGTAAAGAATTTAAGGGGGGGTATTCTACTTCAAAGGTCTTAATAAAATTGGATGTTTAAGTCATACAGCTAAATTCTAAAGCCAAATTGTGATATTGTCAAATTTTAGATGCATGCTGAATCACATACTCACAGGATACAGTGTTACTATTGAGTTGGGTTCCAAAGCAAATCACCAATACTGTAACTCTTAACATGCGTGTCTGCTGCTATCCACATGTTTAAAATAATAGAACTTTATTCTCAGCATCAGAATGTTGTCTTGGTCAGAAATGTAAACAAAACTAGTAGGACTTCTAAGTGAACACATTTAGAACCCGCTGGCATATTAGGTCGTGAGAAAACTTGTTGCCAAAGGAAGAACTAGCTTTAAGTCACAAATCCAGTTTTCTTCCCATAATGCCTAAATTCCAGAAACATCAAGAGGAGCTAAAAGAATTACTGAAGAAAATTTGTAAACATATTTTTTTCAGCTATTTACTTGAGACATTCACAGATTTATTTTGTGTGCTTTAACTCTTGCTCTCTTAATATTGTACACCAAACCTGTTCAAACGTAGCTGCCTTGTAGATCTAAAACCACAAGTGGTGTTGTAAATGTGATCTACACACTTCTTTCTCCAGGGCTCACTTAAGTTTGAAAATGTCTTCCCTTCAACCGCTTGCACAAGAGACAAAAAGGGATGGCACGTTATTTTTAATTGGCCTCCCGTATACTAATTTTCCAGGAGGGCGTCATTCTTGCCAGAGCTGCTCTCTCTGAGAGGGCATCATCTCCTTGCTTCGCACTAGCCAAAGGTCCCAAGGACAGACGGAGATCGCGATGAAGAGCCTTTGGGAGAAATATATTGGAGCCAGCCGGGGGTGGGGGAGCGCAAGTCAGTGTGCAGATGTTTCCACTTTTCGTTTTTCAGCGGGTTTTAAGGAGTTTTGAAATCCACACACGTAACCCCCAACTTCCAACAAAAGACCCAGAGGAGTGGACTCAAGGCTCACTGGACCGGGGATAGAAATTGACTGTTGGAAGCGAGCCTGGCACGGGAGCCGCTCCGCACAGGACGAACCCCAGACTCGCTGCAACATTTTGTTGCCTTGCGCGCTCAGCCGCACCTGTTGGCTCGGCCGCGCGCGCAAGAAACGTTTCCGCAGGAAATCCGGTCCCGGCACGGAGAAGCTTGTTGGGGGGCGAGCGAGCGTGACTGTCAGGTGTCAGCTGGGAGGGTTTGGCAGCGGGACGGAAGCGGTAGCGCTGCCAAGAGAGAGGCAGCATTCCTAGAGCACAGTCTTCCGGTTCCCGAATACAGGATTTAAGAGTCCTCCAAAGGTATGAAGTACTGTATTGTACTGGAATTAAATTAAACTAAATCAAAACGGCAATTGGGGCTCCTCTTTTGTTGTAGTGCCCCGAAACTGTCCCGTTTTTCAAGCACGTAATTGATCTTCGGCAGTTATCAGCAGAGCTCCTCTGCATCTGAAAACAACGAACTGGGAAGAATAAGGCAGAGCGGAGAAGTGAAGAATCAAGCGTTCGAGTTCGGTTTTATTTATAAGTGGAAGTTATATAAGTAAACATATTGAAAAACTCAAGTGTTCTTCTCAGTTTGCAGATTTTCTAGTATTACTTTAGCCCTGCTTCAAATATCTTTACTTTCTCAGAGAGGGAAAAGTTCTGAGTTTAAAAAAATAATAATCAGGAAGGAGTCAAAAATGCCCCCTTATACTGCATGACCACGTTTCCAACGAGATAGGCTTGTTAAGTTTGCAGAGCTCGCCATATCAGAAAGGCGGTGTGGGGGCGGTGGGGGTAGAAGAGAACTGAGCCACCTTCAAAGATTTCATTTTGAGCTGGTATGATTCCCAATCCACTTTCTCACGAGCATCACGCAATTCATAGCCCCGGGCGGCGACCTAAAACAGCAGCCTCCCTGAGTCCTGTTGGCTGCCTCGCCCCGCACATGGCCGGCGTGGCGCGTCTGCGACGGAGAACCAGGAATCTTCCGCGAAAGCTACGTTCACCGCGTGGTTGCCCTTGGAGGGCGATGAGACCCGGATGTGGGGAGGCGTTCTAGCCGCTTCCTCCCTTCCCCCGCCCTTCGCTCTCCGGCTCGCTCTTCCGCGCCGGCCGGGTGACATGAGGAACCTGCGCGAGTGACGCGGCCCGGAGCAGGGCGCGCGCCGAGAGCCACTTTTGTTGGGGGCGCGCCGGCCCTCGACGCTCCTCCACAGGCGGCTCGCCCGGCGGGAAGGCAAATCGGTGGGTCCCCTCGTTCGCCCCCCCCCACGGGCGCGGAGGCGAATGATCGTTCCTCTTCCACCACCACTTCCACCCCCAACAGCGCCCAGCGCTTCTTCCTGGTCCAGGCGGTGGGAGGAAAAAGTGGAGGAGATATACGGAGGCTGTGGCCTTCCCCCCCTCCGCCATCCCCGACCCTCCTCCCTTTGGGAACCCGATGGGTGAGGGAAGCCGCGCTCCGGTTTCGAGGATGGGAAATTTGCCTTTGTGGGAGGCACGGGACTGACTGTGATGGAAGGGGAGCCGGCTGAGTCTGCATCTTCTTTTAAGACCCCCCCCCCCAAAAAAAGGTCGAGGTGTTGCTCGAACTCTTTTCTTCCACCCCATAATTTGGACCACCAGGGTCTGTCCGTCTTTCCCAAATTTCTGGAGGCGCCTATGCTATCATGTCATGCCACGGTTTGTAAAGCGGAGTTGTCGTTTGTTGAGTGGTTCCTACCGATAGCCTCTCACCGAACCATGTCCAGAATCTTATGGTGTGGTGTTAACTCCAAAACGGCATAACTGGCTCCTGCCGTCATTCTGGCACTTGGACAAACCCAGATCACACTCTAGGTAGCCCACTCAGTTTTGGCCCTGATCAGTAAAAATGATTGCATAGTTGCCTTTATGCATATAGAATTTTGCAGTAGGGTTTTGGCCATTGATTTTCATAGTGTTGGATATATGAGGTTAGTTTGCATAGTCTATGATTTGGGGCCACTGATGCACCTAATTTTGGGGTAGTAAAAAGTGTTAGATTGGAGCTTGGGAGGTCTGGGTTCAAATTTCTGTTGTGTCACAAAAGTCAAGGGAGCTATCTCATCTTAACAGGGTTGTTTTGATGCCTTCAGCTTCCTAACAGAATGGCAGGATGTAAATATAATACGTATATTGTAATGAACTAACAGGTTGGCTTGCATTGCTGGGACTGTTAACACGATTTCCTTCCCCATATAGTTGTGTTACAAAATAACTTTACATCTGTCTTCTCTGGTGTCAACCTTGTGCTACCTCTAAAGATAGCTCCATGTTGTTGTTTTTTTGTCTGACTTGACATTTTACTGGTGTTTTCTTGCAACCAGTACCACTGAGTGATTTAAACACATGACGTCTTGGTACCACACACAGGTACCTATGCCATGTATCACTTTTTAAATGTACTGAACTGTAGTTGCTTTTACTATACAGTACAGTGGCTGAAATCTTGTTGCTTTGTGGCATAACATTCAATGGCTTCTAGCTGGCAATTAACAAACCACCACTGTACTTCTCAAGAGGGGATATGTGCCCATTGGCTTAGTACCTTCTCAAGAATCCCAGCAGGGACTCATTAACTGCTAGCTAAAAGTTTGTCTTCCACATGCGTAACAAAGAGAGAAGATTCTCAGCAACCAGTCCTCTCTGACAAACGTGCCTGTGTCGATGTGTTGTCAATCATCTGTTTATCACATTTGCGATACGTTTTAGATTTTACTTTAAAAATCCCAAGCATGTACTTAAAAGCATAATTTCTGAAGAGACTGCTATCTAAAACAAAGTTGAAAAGATTGTGGAAAGGCCTTCCTTCATAGTGCTCCAGGGTTTATATTTCTTGAACACAGACATTAAACAGTATTTCCTGTTGTGTATACCCTATTTGTTGTAGGGGGTTGCAGCAATTTAGCGATTTACATAACTCATATTTTTGTACAAATCAAGATTTTGCTAGCGATCACAGAACGGTGGTTCCAATTGGGGAAATCCGCTTTACGTTGATTAGGAGCCTACTTTGCAAACCATTTGTTTGCAAAACGATGTTTTTTCCAGCTCCGCAAAATGGCTTCCCTCCGTAAAATCGCTTTCCTCCTTCTCAAAATGACTGCTTTCCGGACCTCCGCAAAATGGCTTCCCTCCGTAAAATCACTTTCCTCCCTTCTCAAAATGACTGCTTTCTGGATGGAGGCTTCGCAATACAGCGATTTAGAACAGCTGATTGGCGGTTCTCTATGGGCAATCTTCGCTGGACGATGAGGTATTTCCCCCATTGGAACACATTGACTGGTTTTCAATGGGGATTTTTTTTGACTTGACGACAATTTTGCTTAACAGAGATTTTGCTGGAACGCATTATCATCATCAAGCGAGGCACCGCTGTATAATGGTTGGTGCCTCCTAAATTCAGTGTACATTCAGAATACAGCAGTAAGGTGACACAGATTCAGTGAAAAGGGGGGGGGTTAAAAAACAAAATGTTGAAGAGAAGTAAAATGGCTAAAGTGTGTTAATTTTGCACAGAAATGCATTCATACATTCATTTAAAATATTTATATCCTTCCTTTCTCCTTATGAGGAAATACCTTATTATTATCTTTATTTATTTATTATCTTATTATATGTATTTTATTATATTTATTTCACTTTCCCTAGTATATAGAAGGGGCAAGAAATACTTTAGAAACTTGAAATATTTGTATCCTCCCTGATGGAATTTCTCCATTGCCTTCTGACATCCGAGATTACAACAGACAAGCCTATTCAAAGAGCTTCAAGGACTGGGAGAATACCTTTTAATGGAGGTGGTGTTGGGGAACAGATCAGGTTATCAAGACACTGAATTCTGATTTAGTATCAAATTTTACAGTTGTGCATAACTGTAGGAAACCTACACATTTTGTTAAAAACTCATGTTATTAGTGTGTGACCTATTGAATATGTGGCAGGATGTTCTCATTTTTTTCAAAGAACGGGAAAGCCAATTGAAAATTAGAGCACAATTGTTTGAGACAGTTGTTCCAAGGCTAGTGGAATATTTGCTGAAGTGATTGAACTTGAGATAGCTATCCTTTCCCCCAGAAAATAAGACAGGGTTGCCCACACTACCTTTGGGTAGTGTGAGTGGTATATAAGTTAAATAAATAAATAAATAAATAAATACATACATACATACATACATACATTTTTGCTCCAAAAATGCATTAGGGCTTATTTTCAGGGGATGTTTTATTTTTGTCATGTACAGCCATCTACATTTATTCATATACAGTCATGTCATCTTCTGGTTGCTGCACAATGGTGGAGGGCGGGGTTTCACTTAACTAGGGCTTATTTTTGGGGTGGGCCTTATATTACGAGCATCCTGAAAAATCATACTAGGGTTTATTTTCAGGTTAGGTCTTATTTTAGGGGAAACAGGGTAGCTAGTATACTGATCATTCCAATAATGAATTTTGTTTCTGTGTTTATAGGAGATATGTAGTGCTCCCTTTGGATGCAAATTTGTAAGGAATGTGTTTTCCACAGATCAGTACATTTCTTCTACTGAGACAGAGTGCACTTGTAAAACAGCACCTGTGAGTAAGCTAAGTCATCACATCAAACGTTGTTTTAATTTCTAATTTATACAGTTGTAGTTGGAAACACTGTAGAAATGACTTTATGCATGTCTTTTTCAGAAATGGCTGCACAGAAAAGAAAATCTGTGCTCGTAGAACCTCCTGCTAAGCGGCGAAAACTGGATAAAACAAGTAAACTGGTAGCAACCAGCAAAGAAAGAAAGCTGATAGATATCAAACATGTATCAAATAAAAGTGCAAAGCTGAGGAAAGACATGCACAAAATCTCTTCCAAAAGTAGAAGATCATCTGTCAGTAAGTCCATAAATAGGTCATCTGTACCATCCTCACAAAGTAAACAATCACAGAAACGCTCCAAGCAGACTTTAAATGAATTAAAGAAGAAAACACTTAAGACAATATGCATGAAAAGATCATCTCTAAAATCTTTAGGGAAATTGTCCCCTATGAAAACATCCCCCAGATCTTCCAAAATAAGCCAGGGTAACCATCGGAACTCTACAAAGTGCTCCTCTAAAATCTGTTATAGAGGGAAGGGAAAACCCAATGTTAAAAGTAAGACTTCTCATGAAAACAAGAAGCAAAAGAAGCCATCTGTAGATAATAATAAACGTTCTGGTGGAGTACTACATAACAGCCATTCCACACTGCATCTTAAAACTACACAGAAGAATCAATGTTCTGTGACCAAATCAATGAAGGAAAACTCCAAAAAGGATAGAACTACTGAAAATGGCAAACTTCTTAGGAGCAGCAGTACTAACATCAAGATTCAGAAATCAAAAAATTCTTGTCCAAAAAAACCAGCATTTCAAAGTCCTGAACCAACACCAACTGAAACTGATGAAAAAGCATGTGATTCTCACCAGAGGAAGATGACTACAAGGTCAGAGGGTGCTAAATCTAACAGAGGTCCTGTCCCAGCAAGGCAAGAGCAGTTGCGCTTCCAAAAAACTAAAGAGCTTTCTCAGGAGGAGAGGGGACATGATTTTCCTGAGTCACAGTATCCTGCTTTGGATCATGAGCCTCAAACTCGAAGATCACTAAGGTTGCAACAGTCATTTAATGTCCCTACAGAATCTGTGTGTAACAGAAGTAGAAAGAAAGAATGTATTTCTCTTACAAAACACTGCCCTCAGATAAAAAAGCCAGTTCCCCATATTAAACATGAGAAACCAAAACCTGTCCAGCAGAAAACAGAACAACTGTCCATGATGAATGAAGGTAGAAACAAAAGAAAAGAAATATTGAATATTGAGAAAACAGGTCATTTGAAAGGAAAAAAACAAGTGGTGGCTCTTACAACAAGTGATTTGACAACCCCTTACAATAAGGATAAGGAATCAAGAAATATTGATAGTCATCTTCAAGAGTCAGAGAAGGAACCTGTCAGCCCAATTTCCTGTTCTCTGACATCAACCTGCAGTGTAATAAGTAAAGAAAAGGAGTCGGTGCACAGAAATGGAAAAAGCAGAGTGAAAGCAAAGAGGGTCTTGCCTGCATTAGTGACCCCAAAGCCTGTAGATCACCCAGAAGAGGTGATGAAGTCCAAAAAGATTAGCATTCTTGAGCTTTGTGAGGAAATTGCAGGTGAGATTGAGTCAGACACAGTGGAGGTGAAAAGAGAGTCACCTAGCACTGAATGTGGAAAAGAAGAAGAAAAAGATAATGTGGCAGCTGCGGAGTTGCCACAGGCAGTAGTTTCTGCTGAAGAAGGGACTAATCGGAACTCTCAATGTAAGCGATTTTTCCCCAGCAAAAAAGGAGTGCCTATCAAATGTACTGTGAATGGCAGACATAGCACAGGAAACAAGAACTCTAAATGGACAAATATAAAATTAAAAAAGGTCAATCATGTGAGCCAAAGTATTTCAAATTCCTCAAGTACTCCAAAATCTGTTTTTTTAAAGTGTAGCATTCCAGAGCAGCAGGAAGTAGGAGCTGCAGAACTGCACCTCCCAGAAGCTGAAAAGAAATCAATCCGGTCACAAAACAATAGTAGCACAGTGTATGGTCAGAAGTTAAATGCAACTTCCTTTGAAGGAACCTTGACTAAAGATAAGACATCACCTGCTGGACAACCTATACAGACTACAGAAAATGGGTTGTTTGAGGGAAAACATTGTTCTGAACCAACAACAGATGAGGTAACTAGTTGTAGTTAGCTGAATAATGATACCTTACTTCTGATCATGTTTTAATATGACATTAGTTTCAGTATTAGTATTTCATGAGGAATTTAGTACATGTAATATGTCACATTGCAGTCTGCGTAAAGGGAGCCAGCTAGTTCATAACTACTTTTTGTTAATAGTATTATTAAAGCTATTTTACTCAGTTTTATTTTAAGTAAGTGTTTGTGGCTTGCTCCATTGTATTTATTGTCTTTTTGCCACAAAGTGGAAGCTTTGCAGAGTTTATCTTTAGCAAGGAAATGAGACATCTTTGGACTGTGCCAAAACCGTATTCCTCTCTGTTGTCAGTGTAACAACGTATATGAGAGTACCAAGAAGAATGCATCTACAGTACTAATAATTAGTTAAATATACAAAAAGCAGTCTGCAATACATGTTGCCACTGGATTTTTTTAGCTAGCATTTGTAATTCATTATCACCAAAGTAGTTTTTAGTATGTAGCACCACAAGTCCAGTTACTGGCTGAAATCCAGTTGTAAGTCGCAACTACAGTAGACTCATTGAATCTGGGCATTTAGTGAGTTAACTCTTCCATAAGCTTCATTGATTCATTGGGACTGCTCTAGTTGCAACTTACTGGACTTCAGCCACTGAGCCTGTTGTCATTTGTATGGATTTTAAAATAAATCTTGAGGTTTTTAAAGGCATATTACAGCAAATAGTGCAACAATAACTAAAATGATCTATTCACATATTTTCTTTAGAACTTCAACTTACATTTGGAGTCAAGTCCAGAAAATACACCTATGAAAATAATTGCAACACAACCATCAACAAAGGAACTAAAAAAAGATGTTGCAGAAGTCAAATCTCAAGGTGAGTGTAAAAATACGAGTTCCATATGATCCATATATTTTTATAATTGTTGTTGTTGTTTAGTTGTTAAGTCGACTCTTTGTGACCCCATGGACCAGAGCACGGCAAGCTCTCCTGTCTTTCATTGCCTCCCGGAGTTGGGTCAGATTCATGTTGGTAGCTTTGACGACACTGTCCAACCATCTCATCCTCTGGCATCCCTTTTTTCTCTTGCCTTCACATTTTCCCAACATCGGGTTCTTTTCCAGGGAGTCTTCTCTTCTCATGAGATGGCCAGAGTATTGGAGCATCAGCTTCACGATCTGTCCTTCCAGTGAGCACTCAGGGTTGATTTCCTTCAGAATTGATATGTTAGTTCTCCTTGCAGTCCAGGGGACTCTCAGAAGAGTCTCCTCCAGCACCACAATTGCCATAGTTTGCTGTGGTCCACACAGTCAAAGGCCTTTGCGTAGTCAATGAAGCAGAAGTAGATGTTTTTCTGGAGTTTTCTGGCTTTCTTCATAATCCAGCACATGTTAGCAACTTGGCCTCTAGTTCCTTGGCCCTTTGAAATCCAGCTTGTACTTCTGGGAGTTCTCGGTCCACATACTGCTAAAGCCTGCCTTGTAGGATTTTGAGCATAACCTTGCTAGCATATAAAGAGTTCAGTTTTACAGCAGTTGGAGCATTCTTTGGCACTGCCCTTCTTTGGGATTGGGATGTAGTTTATAATTGTAGTATCATGCCTATGGAGGTTATTAGTGGTTGAATCTCAAGTTCCTCACTGTTGTGTTACAGGAAACACATGACCATTCTGAAACACCAGTTGACCATGGATTGTTTTTTATAAATTAGAAGAGACACTATAAATAATCAAATCAAAATTATAATGTTTAGAAGATAGCCAGTTTCTAATGTTATTCCATGAAAATGTTCAAATGATATCACTTAGAGCTATTTCAAGCATCTTTTCCCTTTGTTGTATTTACTGATGGAACTTAATGTTTAATTAAATACTTTTCTAATACAAATTAAAAAATTTTCTAATACAAATCAATACAAATGCAAATTAAAATGAGGTAGATCCTAGATATGTATTATACATTGTACCCGTATTTTTCGCTCCATAAGACTCACCTTTCCATAAGACGCACCAAATTTTTAGGAGAAGAAAACAGGAAAAAACTCATCTGCTTTCTTCTCCTAAAATTTGGTGAGCCTTATGGAGAGGTCCATCTTATGGAACACACCCTAGGGTTCTAGGGTCCTAGGGTGTGTTCCAGGACGCTTTGGAGACTCCCCCTGCCCCCCCGGGGGCCAGAGGGGGTGAAATCGCCACCTTCTGGGACTCTTCTGAAGCTTCCCAAGCCTCAGAAGAGCCCCCAAAAGTGGCGATTTCGCCCCCTCTGGCCCCCAGGGGAGGCAGGGTCAGTCTCCAAAGGGTCCTAGAGTGTGTTCCAGGACCCTTTGGAGACTCACCCTGCCTCCCCCGGGGGGCAGAGGGGGCAAAATCGCCACTTTTGGGGGCTCTTTTGAGGCTTGGGAAGCTTCAGAAGAGCCCCAAAAGGTGGCGATTTCACCCCTTCTGGCCCCTGGGGGGGCAGGGTGAATCTCCAAAGGGTCCTGGAACACACCCTAGTGTCCTAGGGTGGGTTCGATAA